AAGATAAAATGTCATTTCTGTTGTATAAAAACATATCAAAATTAGTTTGTTATGAAACAAGCTGTTTTCCAACAATACACTCAGGGATTGCCAAATGGATCGGACCCATCTTGCACTTTTAGATTCTCGCACCAAATTTGTAGGTGTACCTAACATTTGCGTACCACATGTAAAATTCCCGTACATACTGTTTTTTGTTACAAAATCGATAACAAAAGGTGTCATTTATTGAATGAAATCGTCGGAGTTATAAAATCTTGTAAGTACATGTTACACTGCGCCAGCGTTTCTAATAATGCTTAGATAATAAGTATAGTAAATTGGTAGAAAACATTAAAAACTTAAGATTTGGTAATTTTGGTTCCTAGCACACAGTTTGCCTAGTAAGTAAGTACTGTAAGTACGAGTATCTTATGATAGAAACGACCGAATCGAAAATACAAACATTCCGAAAACGCACGTTATCCTCTAAAATGCAAGTACAAAATCGACCTTGACAGATGTCCGTAATATATTATTACGTGGCAATGGTAAGGACCCAATTATCCGGGGGCGGATTGCCAACAGGATGAAGCAATTTGAACCAATCGCAGCTTTAGTGCTATTATCCTTTGTCGGCGACCGGTGCCCGCGCACACTGTAGATCGGCCAGTCGATGATTACCCGGAATATGGTTATAATTTATCATTAGAGCTGCAGTTGTAAAATAAACAATGTGACATGGACTATTCTGCTCTCCTAGTCATTACTAACGCTGATCTTACTTAAGAGTCTACTACCCCAACTGACTTTGCTTCGAAAAAAATATATAGTTAAATTGGGGATATACACTGATTAAATAATTAATAAATTAATATACGGTGTGAAAACACGATTCCTAAAAATTTTCGCTATAGAAAAAACCACAAACTTACCTCGAAATTTTACAAGTTACCGCTGTATTCAATAGGTACTTTAAATCATACCAATGATTTGTTTTATATCAACTGAACTAAATAGGACACGTATAGTGTACGATATATTTCAAACGGCTTTAAGTTGGTTTGTAAAAAATGTAATCCTGAAATAAAACCAGTGTCCTTGCAGCTCGACCCAAGCAAAATGAACCGTAATACACACATCAAAAGTGTCTAGGGATCAAGTGAATATTTTTGAAATAAAAATTATTTAAGCAATATTTACCAAATCCAGTCTTCCAGGACGACTTCTTACTTTAAGGCTTATGTTTTATTTAACCGCTTACCCCTATATTTAATAAAAATAAACTAAAATTGATGTTTTTGCAAATTGTGGGAAAAAACTCAAATTAACGGCGTCAATTAAATAACAAAAAAATGGCGAAAATGATGATTTTGCTCATTTTTATTGTAAAGATAAGAAAATTAATAATCTGTATTTCCACCATTAACACGAATCACACAATTACAGCGGTTTGGCATGCTTATGATGAGTTCATCAAAATCACTTTGAGGAATGGCCGCCCATGTGTTTTGTAACAAGTCAAAATATTGTTGTAGAGTATGTACGGTATGCATACTCGGCACAGCTCTCCTTTGAAGCATATCCCATGCGTGCTCAATTGGATTGAGGTCTGGCGATTGAGCAGGCCACGGCAGAACGTTGATACGAGCTTCGGCAAGAATGCGTGTTACGACTCTAGCCGTGTGTGGACGTGTGTTGTCATGCATTAGTTGAAATGAATCACCCAACTGGCCTCGCAAAGGGATGATAACATCTGAAACAATCCTCTCTGCGTAAACTTGAGCATTGAGGTTACCCCTGATCCAAATGAGATCGGTTCTTCTGCCGATCCAAATACCGGCCCATATCATTATTGTTCCCCCACCATATGGATGAACTTCCTGACAATATCTCAAACGTTCATGACGTCCAGATGTTCTCCAAACTCGAGTACGTCTTGTATCCGGTCTCATACCGAAGCGGGATTCATCCGAAAAGCACACATAGCGCCAGTCTTCTTCCTCCCAGTTTCTGTGTTCGCGAGCCCATCGTAAACGGGTCCTGCGATTGCAGGGTGCAATAGGTGGAACTCTGAGCGGCCTTCGGGATCGCAGACCCACTTCACGTAAACGATTTCGGATTGTTTGATCGCTTATTAGCAAGCCTGAGGAGCTGTGGAGCCTCGTAACCAACATCATGGCGGTCATGGTACGATTCCGTCGAGCAGTATTTTGGATATACCGGTCCTGTCTGCGAGTCGTGATGCGAGATCGTCCTCCATGTCGCTCGGCCACGCTGCCCGTCATGCGATAGCGCGTCCAGAGGCGACTTATGACGCTCTGTGTAGTGTTAAGAGTGAAAGCCACAGCACGTTGCCTGGAACCAGCTTCCAACACTCCGACGGCTCGCATCATCACTTCTCGGGTTAAATGATGTCGTCTCTCCATAATAATGTAAATTGTTTCGGTTCCGATGCAGATATTGTAATGATTTTGTCAAAACGCTATAACTCATTTTTATACAAAACCACATTGACAATCGATTTTCTTCTTATTATCGAATTTTAAACAATATTCCTTATTTAAATGTTAAAACTCACTAAAAAGTATCAATAGCGATACAAAAAAGTTAATATAATTAACCCTAATTGCAGCAATACTCTTAAACGTAGGTACTTGATCCCTAGACACTTTTGATGTGAAGTACGGGAAAAGTTTAATTCGAACTCATTCGAACTAAAGTAGTATCGATTCTTAACCATAAAACTTAAATAATTACTTAAATAAAATCTAAAAATAAAAGATTTGAGGGGTAGATCTCGATTCGCTGATTCCAGATATGGTAATAACTCAATTTCGCTAATGTTGATTTGGCTGCCGATGTGCTAACAAAAAGGTTGAAAGTTCTTTGTGCATCGATTGATCTGTTATGGGAACGAATGGCTTTTAGAAATTCTGCAACCAGCAGACGTCCATGTACTTTTTTTATATTGTATATATAGCCAGCCAACAAGCAAAGGGCCCGCTTGATGGAAAGCGGTCACCGCGTCGCATATGAACTCCTGCAACACCAGGGGAGTTACGAGCGCGTTGCCAACCCTTTACGACCCTTTTGAAACCTCTTTTGAAGAACTCCATCCTATATTCGTTTGGGAAAACCCCGACAAAGCGTTGATTCAACTATCTAATTGTACGTTGGAGAAAGTTCCTCTGAAACCGTACAGACGACTCGGTTCCAAAGTGTGAGGAAGAACTCCCTGTCGGTGGCGAGCGGTGTGATGATAAAATGTTGCTGTTAGCACCATGACAAACATTCTTTCAGAACATTGACCATTGTACAGGCGATATAACAAGCCTATGCTTGACTTGACTTTGCCTATGCAAAGTCTCTCTTCGAAGACTGTTCAATATCGTCTGTAAGCACAGAATCGTCAACAATTCTCATAGCACGTCTTTGAATCGCATTTTGGTGCTCAAGCTTTGCTGCGGTCTTTTACTTGTGACAGACCTTGAGTTTACAAGTGACGGATGTCGCTACTGTCGCGTGATATACCTCACAATTTTACACAACCAACTGTACCGCGCCTCTGGTGATATAAAAACAAAATAACATTATTTTACTCTGTCGCTAGCGATAACTGTTTCTGTCTGTAACTGTGTCTGTTACATTCGTGGTTCTATCAAAGATTTTATCTTCCGTTATTCGGGCAAAAGCTCCCACCAGCACAACTATCAAGCCGTAAGTGATTTCTTCGGCATACCATCGCTATAGAAGGTACCATAGCGGACGTAAGGCGCAAACTTTCGCAAGCTGGCCGATATAGAGACAACGTAGTGAAATGGGGATATGTCAACCCGACTCAAAACCATTGTGCTTGCGAATCATCCACACAAAGTAGTTGCTCTCATGCCGAATATCCGGCCGCCGGATAGCTAATCCACTGCCGTAAACATGTCGCGACCGGTTTACAATGCGCATCACCGTGATTGATTGATTAGTGAATGATTGCACTTTCACATTGACGATTTGATTTGTTGTGAAATTAATCGTTTTTATAAAAACCAAGTGACCACTTTGTTTTTATAAAAACGATTAATTTATTCGATGATACAAACTAATACATAACAGAAAAATATTAAGTGAAAAAAAAAATTTTAATCGGCAATATTTTAATATCAGCGCTCTTTGTTTGTTGTGCCGAATGCAAATTTCTCTCGGTGTCGAAGGAAAAAAGCAATTGCATCGTTCTATGGCCATATCAAAATTTTGCCTAGCACTTGATACACTCGTTATTATTTTGTTTTAATTTGATTTCATTGATTTGTTTGTGATCTAACTAATTCTAAACCTTGACACTATTGATTAGTGTAGGCACACATTGTATTTAAAGACACACACAGTTCAAATCAATCGTGATCGCGATCCTTTCATTTGGTCGTCAGGCAATAACAAGTGGTAGTCAAAAATTAACAAAGTTTGCAAGAGTTTATAATGAAAAACTATCCTCTGAAGCTAGTCTCGTTTATGAAAATAAATAGAACCAATTTTTACCATTCAACGCAGAATAATTGGTCTTCCTCACCACAATTTGCCTTTATTGAAATTTGAGTACTAAATTTACGGATAACGTTATCTAACTTCATAGTTCGTCCAATTAAGAGTAATAAACAGACTGTCAATGATCCCGTACTTACTGCTTATCCTATTACTATCATCTTTAATCAATTTATTTGGCGTACTGATTATGAATTTTCCTCAGTTTTAAGTATCCGGCCGGATATAGTTCCAGTATCCGGTATCCGGCCGGATATTAAAAATAGGCCGGATAGTAAAAATAGGCCGGATACCGGATAGTTACCAGATATCAGTTTCATCTCTAGAAAAAATCATTCCAAGTACTTACATTTACTTAGTTGAGTCGTTATGTAATAGAACTACTGAATAAAACTGCTGGGAACGAACCTAACTAAATTTGGATTGTGCTTATCAATATAAAATCTACGTGTAATATAAAAAAAATGAAATGCAACAACTTCCAGTTACGTTCTTATCACTGTATTTTTATTTATCCAGTACACAAAATTACAATGAAACCAAAATGTGTGACGTCACAAAATATAATACCGTTACAATACAAATCTAGTTGTTCTGCTTCGTGCCTTCCTTCGCATTCTGTAGAGCCTGTGTCAGGTACAACTTTGCAAGACTTTGTGAGCAAAACTGGCTTATATGTTGGCTGTAAGTGTTGATCTGCCCAGCTACAATCATAGGGTTTAACCTTGGAGGTACCGGGTGAGGTTTAAAGAGTTTGTTAACATCCTCTTCAGGTAAAGCTGGCTCGTCTTTGGCAGCTCTGGCAGCATTTTCCTGGGCACGCTTGAGGAGCCATCGGTGTTTGTCTTGTTGCTGACGGACAACTAATTGCTGATAGCGATTGAATTTAATTGCTTCCTGGTTAAGCTCGTCTACGCGCTCCATTAAACTACGCAGTTGGCCTGGAAAAAAATTTAAGGTTTACATTAAGTTTGTTTATCACAGATTTTATAATAATGGGTCAGCCCAAAAGTCCGAGCGGTTGTAGCCACTTTAAACTATATAGAACATTTTACTTTTAAATTATTAATTCGCTGCCTTTCTCTCTCAAACTCGTATCTTATAAAGAGTGATTATTTAGAGGATGGCAAAATTTTCTATTTATTTTAAATTTCTTATCAAGGGTGTTAATTTGGATGCATTACTTCAAAAAAAGGTACAAGCTAGTGTGTAAATATGAAGGTAATGTGATGTGAAATCAGCCTGCAAAATTTGTATATACAATCTATTTTTTGCATTTCAGTAACTTTGTGCTTTAAGGTACGAGTTTGAGAAAGCAAGGCGACGTCATGCTGTGTAAGTCATTGTAAAAATAATAGTTTAGCGCGCATTTTAAAAATAGGGCGGAAACTTTACATCGAAATCGGCACTGGCCCGAGCCTTTTAAGCGCCCAGTTACGCGAGGAGAAAGTTTTCCCGCGTCTGCCGCGCGGCGACCGCCCAGTTACCACGCCTTCGTGTACATTAATTAATTTGAATTCTATTTGCTAGGCAACAACATTTAAATTCCTCTCATTTAAATGCAAGTCAGGCTCGCCCGCGTGTCCGGAACGCTCATTTAAGTTAAAACGTAAAAGCTAAACATATAGAGCGTAATTTGCAATGACATGTAGACGCACGCGGTAGCTGCGCGGCGGCAACGCGGCCTCCGCTCCGCGACAGCGCGGAGTGAGCGCGATAAAATTCGTGTCAAGTTCCGAATCCGAGAAATGACGGTCCGAAATTTCACAGGTGATTTTATCTTTAGATGTACAAGTGATATTCATATTTTCTCGGATTTGAATCAGACTTAGTGCACAAGCGACATTCGAAGTGGGTCAGAGTTTTTTTTATACCTAATACTAAGTGACGACACCAACAAAACGTGTGCCTGGTGGTAAGCGTCACGCCTGTCCCAAACAGTTGCAGTGTCACCCAGACCTTTAAATCACAAACATCTGAGAGGCACTGCCACTGCGCCCGTCACCCTGAGACATAAGTTGACAAGTCCCATGTGCCTGAAATTTCACCAGCACCTTCGAAACCGGAACGCAGTAATGTTCACATTACTGCTTGGCGGCAGAAATAGGTAAGATGACAGTACTTCCCTGGACGAACTCTTTCACAAGAAGCTCTACTGCTACTAAGTTTTCTACATTTGTATCATAGTCTCGGATTCTGAACGAATACTAATCGGATGTAGTGGGCAAACGCGCTAGTGGCCGCCATTAAAAAAATAATAAATTTATATTAATTTATAATAAATTCATGAAAATGGCCCAAAAAAAAAGGTGAATCTTATAGGTGTGTCGTATTTCATCATACGATAATGCTAAACCACACATATTTACAAGCCGTCAAAAATATTTCAGTTAGGTTAGGCTGTGTTATTTCATCCACCATATTAATATAGCTATCACTTTTTTCGGCCTTCATAAAACCCTTTGAGTGGACACTACTTTGATAAAGAAGAGATCATCAAACGATACGTAGAGCTGTATATTATAAAGACAGGAATTTTTGTGAATGCGTATTCCAAAATTACCCAAAAGATGGCAAAAGGTTGTAGATCAACATGGACAACGCGTAATAGATTAAAATTTGATATTTACTTTTTATATTTTCATTCATACTTTGATACAATAATTGGGTATTGGGTATGCATTTCATAGTGTAATTAATAAATAGCCATTTTTAAAATGTTTATGTTAAACAGTGGAACATCCTTACATTGTTTAATTAACTTCAAATTGTATACGTACAGTTGCATGCCCTCATATAGGCATATGTGAACTGCCTACCCTAGCAAAAAATAACTCATACTAAATGATGCTCTAATATTCACTGATGAATACTGAGAGGTTGTTTTTTGTTCTTGTATTTTATTTGCAAACTCTCCAAATGTTTGGAATGACACCAATTATTTCTTATATAACTAATTTACTTATATTAATATATCTGTAACGGTGGTGTAAAGTATTGTTTTGTCTTGTTCTGGAACCCGGAATACACTAAAGAGCAGTGTTAATTAATTAAACATTAAAAAAGTAATAAAAGTGTTACTCCCATGACTGACTTGACATTGCCAAAGTTCTTCAAAAGAAGCCAGAAACTTAAAAATAGAATAGAACATACTTAATTTGATTTTGGCAAGTACTTAATTATTGTTTGCTTTTTTAATAGTTTTTTTTTGTGGCTATCCCAACTGAAAACCTTGTGCACGCCACTGTATACGTGTACGTACATAAGTGGTATATATTACACCTATTAATGTATAAAAAAATTGTTTACCTTCAAGCACGGATGCAGTACCAAGATCCAAAAATTTAGACCCGTCCTCTTCAGGTATCATCTCAGTGAGCTCGGACATCATTATGTTGGTCAATGGCGAGTTACGAATTACAATCGGCACTTCGATGAACAAGCTTTCGTATCCGATCTTCAAGTTGCGTAAGGCCTCTGGAGTGTAGTCACCTTCTTTATACATAGCGATAGCCTGGAATATTACATGCGAGAATCAGAACTTGTAAAGCTCCAAACCTGTTGCAAGACTGAATTTAAACCACAGGCTTATGATTAGTATGACTGACGTAAATCTGGGGCAATATTTAGAATGTAAATTGACATGGTAAACTGTTATTATTTATATATATATACATAT